GTTGGTCAAGTCTCATGATGCTCACATTCTAGTGGGCAGAGGAGACTGACACAAATGAATAAATATGAGAATTTCAGGTGGTGTAATATGACAGGAAGAAAATGCATCTGATGATATGGTATCAAGTGACTACAGAAAAATAACCCAAGGAAAGATGTTCTACAGTTATATTTGAAGTGGGACCTTAAAGGCAAGATGAAGCCACATATACAGTAGTTTGTAAAAGTAAGTTTCTCTCTTTTTTTTTTATCCTCACCCTAGGACATTTTTCCACTTTTTGTTCAGATAGAGTGGGAAGGAGACAGAGGAAGAGAGAGAGAGAGAGAGAGAGAGAGAGAGAGAGAGAGAGAGAGAGAGAGAGAAACCTCAATGTGAAAGGGACACATCAAGTGGCTGCCACCTGCATGACCGACCAGGGCTGGGGACAAACTGCAACTGAGGTACGTGACCTTAGCGGGAACCAAACCTGGATCTCTCTGGACTGCAGGCCAATGCTCTAACCGCTGAGCCAACCCAGCCAGGGTGAGAAGTAAGTTTCTGAAAGCAGGAAGAGCAGGTGAAAACCTCTGAGGCTGGAGAGAGAAGAAAGTGAAAGAAAAAAAAAAGAAACACAGAAACAATGAATGAAAGTGAAGAAGGGAGGAAGGGAGGGAGGGAGAAAGGGAGGAAGAAGGAAGGAAGGACAGAAGGAAGGAAGGAAGGAAGGAAGGAAGGAAGGAAGGAAGGAAGGAAGGAAGGAAGGAGGAAAGGAAGGAGGAAAGGAAGGAGGAAAGGAAGGAAGGAAGAAAAAAAGGGCTTAGAATTTCATTTAGAGAACGGCATCACAAGGTCAGAATGAAATATGTTCAGGGAAGATTAGGAAGAAGCAAAGATGGAGAGGTGGGTGCAGGGTACAGTGTATATTGTATTCAAAGACATGGAAAATTAGTAGAATTGTAAACCTGACATTAGCACGGTCTTTAATCTACTCAGCACCCACAGCCAGGCTCATATTTCTAACTTTTCTGTCCATCACATTCCACCCTTGCTTATAAATAGGTATTAACATCTAGTCATACAAATACCCCTGAGATCTGTCCTTTCTAACTACTCTGTACAATCTCTTTCCTTTTCCTTTTGGTCTCACAGTGATGATTGGTTGCTCTGAGCTGACTTCTGAGCTTCTGTTTAATTTTCCCCCACATAAATCTCCATCCCTCTGAGCAGTTTATAACAATGTCTTCTCCTTGTAATGCTGCAGCCACTCTGTACACTTGGGCGCTCTCTCTCTCTCTCTCTCTCTCTCTCTCTCGCTCTCCTGGTGGCAATGCTGTTTAATCTAGGCACTCACCACTTAAAACATAAAGTTCTTAATAAAGCCCAGAATCAGTTATTTGGAGTGGACCTTGATAAAAAGTATCCCCTGCTCTGATCTCTAACTCCTTCTATCCCTAATCTATCCTCCCAAGTGCTTGTAACAAACCAGCTGCTTTTAGAAAATATGTGTTTCCAGAAGCAGAAGGGAATTAGAATCCTTTTCTAGGCCTTATTGTCTTAATATGTGGGTTAATTTTTCTCTACCAGACCCCCATATTGATATTCTGCCTTCATCGAGATCCCTTGTCTTTTCTGAAGTCCTTGCTGAGGCCCATATATCTGGTTCTGAGAAGTTCTTGTCCCACGATGTCCATTTCTCCCATCAGAACTCTCCCATATCTTTAACTTCAACTTGAAGAACTCCCAAGTATTTGTTCCTTCCAAGTGTTTGTCCCAAGGGTATATTTCTTTTATTGCCCTGTTGTTTTATTTCCTTGTCAAAATAAAAACACACACCTCAACAGAAAATCCCTGGAGTTCTCACATACTTAACATCTAATGGGTAAAATAGAACTGAAGACAATTACAGAGGAATTCTTAGCACAACTTTTATCATTATTATTATTGTGACTACTAACTACTATTATTTGAAAAATAAAGTTGTTCCTTGCTGGGTCCACTTTTCAACTGGTCTTAGCTTAAGAATTAATGTCAGAAAGTACCTCCTTTGCTTTTTGCCATGTGCTAATGAAACAGCTCTGAAGGGAGAGAAGTTGATTTTTCTGTGACTAGTAGTCTACACAGTCATGCCTGGGACATGCTGCATTTAAATAACTTGCTGTAATTTACTGCAGCTTTTGAAAGGACACACCTACAATGTGACAGAGTCAGAGTTCCTACTAATATTTTTTCCCTCTGAAAGTGATGTATAATCTCAGATGTTACCTGATCAGGAGTCCGGAAGCTTTGGAAATCTGACTTGGTTATTCGCCTCTAACACCAAGAACTGCAGCTCAAATAAAATGCAGATTATGAAATTACATGGTGGAGTCTTTAGGGTTTTTTTATATAAAGAATTATTTCATCTGAAAAAGTAACACTTGGACTTAATTCTCAATTTGGATGCCTTTTATTTCTTTCTCCTGCCTGACTGCTCTGGCTAGGATTTCTAGTGCTATGCTGAATAGGTATGGGGAAAGGGAACATCCCTGTCTTGTTCCCAGTCAGAGAGGAAAAGCATTCAGTTTTTCACCATTAAGTATGATATTAGCTGAGGGTTTGTCATATATGGCTTTTATTATGTTGAATTACTTTCCTTGTATACCCATCTTGTTAAGTTTTTTAAATCATAAATGGATGTTGTATTTTAGCAAATGCTTTCCTGGCATGTATTGATAAGATCATATGATTTTTATTCTTTACTTTGGTAATGTGGTATATTAAATTACTCCACCAAAAAATAGAAACAGTAATCAAACACAGTAAAGTTTCTATTAAAAACTGACTTATCCAGCCCTGCCTGTATGCATGTGTGTGTTAATTATAAAGCTGTTTGAAATTAAGTTGTCTTAAAGTAACAAGATCTAGACCTAAATCCAGGTCCCTAAGGAATAAATAATGTATCTTCTGATTGGTGTTTCAGGCTTTTTAGGATGTATTCCTAGAAGTGGGATCACTGGGTCAAATGTCAGTTCCATTTTTAATTTTTTGAGGAAACACCATATTGTTTCCCATAGTAGATGCGCCAATACTTTCGACAATAAAAATAAATAAATAAAATAAAACTTCTAAAAAAAAAAAAAGAATGTATCTTCTGTCCACAATTCCAGCATCACCATCCTTGATCCCTTGACATTCAGATTCAGAATAATAGATGAAGGATAAGAAAGAGAAGAAGTTTATTAAAAATGCACATTGCTCTCATTTGTTAACTGGATAAAAAGTGCCACAAACTGCCTTCATTTACTCAGTTTAGGGGCATAATGAGAGGCCATAAGGCTAAGAGAGACCTGTGCTATTGACAGCCTACAGCTACAATAATCACTGGTTTGTCATCCTTGTTGTGGGAACGTAAGGTGAAATTAGAAAGTAATTCACAGGACACATTCTGATCACTTTGTGGGGGCAATAAAATGCCTGAAAGAGTTAAATTTGCCAAGAAATGATACTCAAACTTGTTCAGTAGGGAAGGTCTCAAGCTTTGATATGAGAGTTTGACTCAAGGCCTGAAGGTCAAGATTCCCTGAGCAAACTCCAATTACTCCCCCAAAAGTGATTCAGTTAATGCCACTCCTGCACGAAGGTCTGTCCACAGGTCAATGCATGGCCTCTTCTTATAGATTTACCCAGACTGGGAGCTTTCAATCATCTACCACCATCTCCTTTCTCCTCATCTACCGCAGTCAGTCATACCATGTCCTTCTCCCTCTCTCTGTGCTCACTTTTTAATTTTTGCAGACCCCAGTGTTCTCTTTGGGTTTAGCCCATTATGTATATTCCCCTGAATTGAATCCATGTATAGTCTCTGCAATTTTGAATTTATTTTTGTGTGCATTAAGCATCCCCCTCCCAACCTTATTTCTTGAGTCCTTTAAAGTTTTAAGAATATTTATTATTTATTCTTGCCAATAGCAATAGTAAAAAAAAAAAAAAAAAAAGTAATAAGTTTTTTATTTATTTAGGTCTCCACATTACCTAGTTTTTCTTAATACTCTACCTATGTCTTACTCTCTCCTCTACTTCCAGATAGATATTTTAATGCAAGTCATGAAGACCTAGCTTGCTGGTTTAGACTGTGAGCCTTTGTTGGTATCTTATCTCCTACAACAAATGGTTATTGAATGAATGTTCTAAGTCTTGGCCATTCTTTCCCCTTAAAATGCACACACCATCTTAACTCTAACTTTATTTTTGTGAATGTCACATTTAATCAGAAGGTATTGTACATGATCTGAGCCTTGGCTCTCCAGTGAGACAGTGGAACCCTTCAGGAATGTGTAGGTGATTAATTAGTAGAGACTTTTTCTGGAAAGCTCCCAGCCATCCCTCAACTCATCTTCTTATCTCCAATTCTATCTCACAAGGCATATGACAAGATAGGTGATTCAAAATGCACATTAGAACAAACTGAAATATTAACCTAAGCTTTGACCTTGGATCCCTACAAAAAAATTTCTTTTCTTTATTCTTTATTAAATTTATTGAGGTGACATTGGCTGATAAGAATACCCAGGTTCCAAGTTCACAGTTTTATAATGCAAAATATGCATATTGCATTGTGTGCCCACCACTCAAAATCTGAACTCTGACGTGTACAACAAATTTACTTTGTTTTTTTCTTAGGCACTACTTACCACCTCCTTCTACAGTAAGATTTTTGTCACACTGTACTGTAAGTCCATGCCTACTTGATTAACCCTTTTCCCAACCCAGAAAACGTTTTCCCATCTTGCCATCCACCCAGGCTCTGTAAATCCCCCCACAATGTACACTTCTCAAATGAGCTCTGTTTCTTCTTATGTTTCTCCCCGCCCTCCAGTCAATGAACACTTTCTTCTCTAACACAAGAGTATAAGATAGAAAAGATACAATATAATTTCTGATTACTGGATAGAATGTACTTTATTAAACAGAAACTGTGCTGTCAAGATCAAAGCCCAGTTCCCATTTTCAGAAGGAAGGCAATGGGGACACAAATGGTCACTGGTGAACTGGAAAGAGGACTCAGTGGTACTTGTGGGCCAGGGCAGTGGCAACACCCGCCACCAGCTTCTGCCAAGCAGCCTGCACTTCAGGGGTGAATTCCTTGCCAAAATGAGAAGCCAGAATAATCACCAACACATTGCCCAGGAGCTGTTAGGTAAAAGACAAAATGAAAAATAATCATATTGAGTAGATGTTTCCAAAACAGATTGCAGAAGAAAGAATGGCTTAATATCTAAACTCCCTGCTGACTCTGCAATTTAAACTCCTCTAAGGGTTGTACCTATTCAATAAACTCAGATAAGGTAGTCCCTAAATTCAATTTATCTTTGTGAGCTTTCCATTCAACATTCTGCCTACCTATATCTCCATCTTCACTCCCATTTCACTCCCCCGCTCTCATCTACCCGTTGTCGAATTTCTGTAAGCATACGCTTTCAGGGCTGCACGGACTCTCAGAGTGAGTTTAGTTAAAGTCTCCAACCATTGCTAGACAAGCCTTCACTTGGTCAAAATACCAACAACTGAACATATTTTAGAGGAGTTGTATGTCCTGAGACATTCTGTCTAAAAGTTTTTCTCCAAAATCTCTTCCTAAACTTCAAATGTCAGGGACCACAAAAAATCATGCATTTCTCCTTCCCTGAGATAGCACTTTATCTACCAAAAGCCAAATTCCATTCTTCCTTAAACAAGTTTGCTGTTCTGTGATATTATTTTCTAGGATAAACACATCCAGTTATGACAAGAGTTTCTGTAAAGTTTTAAGCAAACTCAGGCTGCTCGTCACCCTGTAGTGTCACCAGTCCTTAATCAAGGTGGCCTTGGTTATGCCCTCTGGAGGTCTGCTCTCCTAATCCCAAAATTTCTGAGATCTTTTTTAGTTTTCCCAAAGACTCAACTTTCATTATTACCCCAAAGTTTAAAAAGCAAACAAAACAAAACAAATGCACATGAACATTTTCTGAACTCACCCTGAAGTTCTCAGGATCCACATGCAGTTTGTCACAGTGCAGCTCACTCAGCTTAGAAAAAGCACCCTTGAGGTTGTCCATGTTCTTAATAGCATCTCCAAAGGAGGTCAGCACCTTCTTGCCATGTGCTTTGACCTTTGGGTTGCCCATTATGGCAGAAGCAGAGGACAGGTTGCCAAAGTTGTCAAAGAACCTCTGGGTCCAGGGATAGACGACCAGGAGCCTATAGGATGGAACCATAGCATATGGGAAATCAAAAATCCTCAAAAATCTTAAAAGACTTTGCTGATCAATTTTCAAGGCTCATATTCACCACCCTTGTCCATGTATTGAATCCCATTTCCTACCTGCCCAGCGCCTCGCCTCCAGCCTCTTCCACGTTTACTTTGCCCCATACATTAGCAATAGCAGCCTTCTCCTCGCTGGTAAAATGCACCATGATTTTGGGTCTGAGAGCTTACGGAGATCACAGAGGTGTCAAAAGCAGGTATGTCTGCTGCTGGAAGGGGTAGCCTTTTATGCTTTACTGCTCACCTTCTGGCCCCTTGTTTCCCCTAGTACTTGGAGGTCATTGGTCAAGGCTGAGCTGTGTTCCTCATGGGTGGAGTCAGGTCAGAAAAGGGTCAGCAAGGAAAAGTGCACTCTGGTTTATGATAATGTGTTTGGTTCCTGAGATATTCTTCCTTTGTTGCTCCTCCTTTCATCACAACACAATTTTTCATTCATTCCTCCTCTTGTCTCCCTATGTCATTCTCCAGGAAGACATTTAACTCTCCTATTCTCCTTCTCCAAGGAAGACTCTTAGAGAGGAGCTAAGCCCAAGATAGGGAGAGAGTTCCAGTCTAAACAGCTTAATATTTCTGTTAAGGATAATGACAGGGACAAAATTACATCTCTGTACTTTAAGAAAAAAAATACATCTCTGATAGTGTGGCTCAGTTCATTGGAGCATCACCCTGTGCACCAAAGGTTGTGGGTTTGATCCCTGGTTGGGGTGCTTACAGGGGGCAACCAAACATGTTTCTCTCTCTCTCTAGAAAATCAATAAAAACATTTCCTTGGGTGAGGATAACAAAAAAAAAGACACAGAATCTCATCCAGTTCTATCACTCTTAAGAAAAAGTAATTTATAACTAAGCTTCTGCATCTTAGTTTTCCAAGGGAAACAAAACACATAGGTGGTTACTTCAGGAAGCTGAACAGAGTAGCAAGGGATCCACAACAGGACTAAGAACTCGGGGTTGATCCTTCTCCTCCACATTCACACCCATTGCAAAGCCTGTAACTCCTTTTTTTAAATCCTCATCTGAGGATATTTTTCTATTTATGTTCACATAGAGTGGGAGGGAGAGAGCGAGAGAGAGAAAGGGAGAGAGAAAGAGAAACATCATCGTGAGAGGGACACATTGACTGGTTGCCTCCTGCACAACCTCGACCAGGGTCAGGGAAACCGCAACCAACATAAGTGCCCTTGACCGGAACCAAACCGAGATTCACTGGTCCATGGGCCAATGCTCTACCACTGAGTAAAACTGGCCAGGGCTGTAACTACTTTAGTGAAGGCTTTTGGGACCAGAGCTGGCTTGCCTCTAGGGATCTGGCCCATCTTTTGCTCTTTATTGCTAAAGATTGTGGGAAAAGACTTTAAAGAAAGGTTACAAGGTTGAAAGGCAGCACATCTGTAGTGCAGTGAGTCTTATGAATTCTGCTTCTGAAGTCAGGTAGGCTGAGTGTAGTCTCATTACTGCTTAGGTGCTTGTTGATTCAAGCTAAATTATCTCAGATGCTCATTTGGAAGTATTTCATTTATTTCTCCCATGGAAAATTATAATTATGTTCTTCTTTTCTTGATGGAAAAACCCAAAGTTTAGAAAGATAAGTGACATAGTTATCCAGGATGGAGCAGAAAGCCTAAGGGGTCAGAAAAAAAGTAAGGTCAAGATAGCCATTTATTACTTATACAATTAATAATTAATGAAACAAAACACATTTTATCTCAAGGAACTTAAATAAAAAGACTTTTAAAAAGTAATTCTGGGAGCCCATGCAGCCCTGAAAGCGTATGCTTACAGAAATTCGACAATACTCATACTCACGCTCGCTTTCTTTCTGCCACCATCTTGGCTACATGCTCCCCCCACAAAATGCCCAGCGAAGCCACAGAGACCACCCTGCTGCAGGCAGGAGTTGCCACAACCCCAAGCTGAGACAAGGTCCGGAGCAGAATCTGACAGTGGCGAATCAGTACCAGAGCGGGAGCAACAAGGTTCCACATGGACAACCACACACCAAGCCCAGCTGGCAGCAGCAGCTGAAGTCAATGCAGAACCAGTCAGTACAGCAGAACAGAGCCAGTGTGAACAGAGGACATGAAAGGCTATTTCCAACCTCGGTCTTCGGCAAGGGTTAATAGGGTCACTCTTCAGAAATCTAAGAGTATCTGTTTTGTCATCACAAAACCAGATGTCTACCGGAGCCCAGCTTCAGATCTCTACATAGTTTTGGGGGGAGCCAAGTTTGAGGATTTGTTTCAGCAAGCACAGATAGCAGCTGCTGAGCAATTCAAAGTTCAAGGTGAAGCTATGTCTCAAACATTTAAGAAAATGCAGACTCCAACTGTACAAGAGGAGTGTGTGAAGGAAAAGGTTGATGAAACAGATGTGGGAGTTGATGACATAGAATCAGCCATGTCACGAGCAAATGCAGTCACAGAACAAAGGCAGTCAGAGCCCTGAAGAACAACAGTAATGATACTGTAAATGTTATGGAATTAGCAACGTAACCATCTAAAAATGAGAAACTTTTTTGGTATTTAAAAAGAGTAACTGTAGCTTTGTTTGAAATTTGTACTGTTCCTATCATTAATAAAGTTATGGCTTCTTGTCGTGGGCTGAAAAAGAAAACTCTGAAATGTGTTAAAAATTAAGTCCTGCCTCTCAGGGTATCCAGTAACATTTATATGTTTGTAAATGCTGTGTAGGGTTTTAATAAATGTAAGAAGCCTCTTTTTAGCAGGGATAAAGCAAGTATTTCCTTAAATCTTGCTAGCTAAAGTATGACATGTATTCTAATCCTATGAGTCAACTACTGTATTATCTTTAGGTGCTATTAGTGTGGAGAATTATATAAATTACATTGTTGTTAGGTAAAATAGGTCTTTAATCTCACTGCATATTTTCTATACTATAATATAAGAAAAATACTTCAAATGTTATTTTTTATCCCAAATGAGTTATTTTCTTTTTTATTTAAAATCAAAAAAATATAGACAGAGTTTATAAATCACTAAAAATTTAAAAAGCTGCTTAGATTCTTGATTAGAGAGGATGTCCGTTCCTCTGCTTTCTTTCATTATACATCTGAATTTATGTTCTTATAATATAAATAGGTGAGATCTCTCCACACTAATAGCACCTAAAGATAATACCCAGAAATGAATGAAAAAGATTAATTCTACGCTAAGATTCCATCTCACTGTGAGAACATTGGGATGTCCTTGACTTGGTGACTTTTGAATTCTCAAAGATGTTAATGACATTTTTTTTTTTTAAACCTAGACATGCTATCTTAATACTTTGGACATTCAGTATTGAAGCTATAACATGTTTCATGAACAAAAAAATCTGCATCTCTCTGGAAAAGGGTAAATTTGAGGTTTGGTAAGTATGAAGGGTGTAATGGAAGCAGCAATGACTGGCTAGGCCCCATGCATTAGCAAGACCATGCACCATGAGGAATTATGAGAAACAGAACCCTTGGTTTGTATGACCTAGTGGGGCAGTTAATGATTGTTTCTCCTATAAACCCCTTTTATCTGTTGCTAATTGTAGCCTTAAAAGGGTTATTCCTGAAACCAAACTCCCACAACCCTACCTTATTGAGTCTCAGGCATATGGTAGGGAAAAGAACACCCCTTTTTTAGACCAACATCTGCTGCGGCTCTTCTCAGTACAAGAGCCTCATTAGGCCCTGATATCACCTGTCTTTCTTGCACCTGCTTTTTGTTTTTGTTTCTTCCTCTTTTTCTTCTTCATTTTATTTATTCATTTGTTTTCTGAGGTTTTGCAGGCATTCATTTTGTTTTGTTTTTATTTGACACAGGCAGGAAGATCTAATATTTTCTTCCTTCTGGGGACTTAGGCTGGTGATAGCTGGGTGGAGTCAGAACCTGTGGGCACAGATAAGAGCTCAGGACAACATAGAGCTGTGGCAAGGGTGGGGGCGGGGGTAGCTAAAGACAGTGAGAGCCAGTGTGTTTCTCTTACTACCTTCAAAGACCCATCCACAGTTCCTATACAAGTAGATACATGGAAGTACTTGAGTGTCCTGCATGATTAACTCCTCAGAACTGCCTAATTAATATGCTTTGTGCAATGCGCGCGTGTGTGTGTGTGTGTGTGTGTGTGTGAGAGAGAGAGAGAGAGAGAGAGAGAGAGAGAGAGAGAGACTACAGTGACTCGTTAACATGCAAGGTTCAGGAAGACAGGAAAACAAATTGCATTCTTTAAATTTAGTTGAAATTAAAAATAAATGTAGTCACAAAATTGAGAGACTCAAAATCTCCTGAAAGAGACAGAATGACTCTCAGGCCAGATGCTCTTAATTATAATCTTATGGAAAGTTCTGATGTATAAAAAGAGGTATGTTAATCTTTAGAAAGTTGGCCAAAAAAACAGTACTGTATAGGAGAAAAAAATCAAGAAGAGTATATATTTTTTTTAAAAAGTTGCTCTGTTGGTTTAAAGTCTAGATATGTTTTAAACCTCACATAATATTTATGTACAGGCCAAGGCTATCCTTTCCATGAAGATGGATGAATAAGCCATATCTGACCCCCTTGGTAAGATGATGACCTAATATGATTGCATCCAGCTACCTTCCTTCACACAGTTTGTTTCCTCCACTTTTACCTGATTGATGTAAAGAAAGAATTTATTGTTCACATAAACATGAGTAGTCCAGCTATAAATCTCAATGTAAATTAATAAGTAAGTACCCTGGTTCCCATTTTAGCTTCATGTGCCTTCCCTCTGGCCAAAATAAGCCTTCAAGAGCCAATCACATCCTACAAAACAAATGGGTCACATCCTGGAACTCAGTACTCTGATCAAGGCCCTGCATATTGAGATCTAACTAGCTCTAGTTGGCATTACCTCTTCCAACAGCATCCCACAGATTTATTTGTATGTATATAGCAGTGAATGTATGTATATATGTCTTTGTACTTAAGGTTGTATGTGTGTTTGGCTATGCATTCATTCGTTCAATAATATAAAAGTACTAAGAATACAAAAATGAAAAAAAACAAAGCCCCTGTTTTCATGGAATTGATAGTGGGACGAATCAGACAAAAAGTAAATAATCAAGTGAAATATATGGTATATGCCAGATGATGTTAAATACTATGGAGGAGGACACTGGGTTGAGGGACAGAGTGTGATGGAATAAGGGTGGAAAGGTATTGCTGCTTTAAATAGTGTGGCAAGGATGTCCTCACTATAAGGAGACATTTGAGAGGATACTGATAGATAATAAACCAATTCATGTAGAATTTGGGCTAAGTGTTTAAGGCTTAGGGGATTGCAAATATAAATAACCTAAAGCTAGAGGATGCTTAGAATGTTCAGGGAATGATAAAGAGTCCAATGTAGGAGCAGATTAAGTGATGGAGAGTAGAAAATGTGATCATATAAGTGCTAGTCTATAAAATATGGAATAATAATACCTGTATTATAGATGTGTAAGAAAACATTCACATATACATATATGTGTATATATATATACACATATACATTCTTAGACACTCATAGATGTATACATATATAACATAAATATAATTATATCTGCATTTATACACATACATATATAAACACACACATATATTATATACAATATACATATATGCCAAAATAAGAAGTTTAATTCAGTAAATGAATCAAACATTCATTTGAAAATTCCTTGTGAGTTAAACTGATTTATCTGCTTCTCTTTTAATGTTTTTTTCATTTATAATATTTAAAACATTTTATTGGGATGATAATAGTTAAAATTATATAGGTTTCAGGTGTACAAGTCTATAATGCTCCATCAGTATATTGCATTGTGCATTCACCACACAAAGTCAAGTCTCTTTCCATCAACATTCATCCCCTTTTAACCTTCTTCCACCTTCCCGAACCACACCCCTTTTAAACTTTTTTCTTAAGTGTATAATTTCTTGTCATTTCACATTTCTGAAGCATCTTTTGCCACCATTAACTCCTATTGAAGGCTATTTCAACTTCAGCATCATTCTTCTGGAGGTTTTCACTGATCCCTTAGCCTCCTAATTTTTCTCCCCCTAGGCACTGTGTCATGGTGCTGATCTCTGTAGTCCTTGACAGCCACTGATGCATGGGAAGCCTGTTGGCTCTCTTTGGGAAATGTTTCTTCCCTGTAGGGTTGGAGTTGTCTACATTTTCCCAATAAGATAGGTAGCACCAAGAGTGTCCTGAGACTTTCCTTAAATTGAGGGTTTCTAAGTGACATCCCCAGTCAGATCAGACCCAGTGTGTGAGCATGTGCTCTCCAAGAGCACAGGCCCTTTGTCACCTGGATGTCTGGAAGTACTCCGAAATGGCATAATGGCTTCCTTCTTTTCCGTTTGATGCCTTCCTCTTTCATACTCATGTTTCTGTCCACGTCTACAATATTCTGTGCAAAGTGGGTATTCAGTATGTGGACTCTTAGAGAGGTGAAAACTAGAAAAATCCTTTGGTCGTCTAGCCCTGCGACATCTTTATATACAAGAGGAAATTTGGGTTCTGCTCTGGGTTATATGGTACATGAGAAAGGATCAAGGTTACCTCACTAGCAAAGATCCTATGCTTCAAGTTACTCTGATAAATTGACTATATTTTATGAACTAAAGAGCCATACACATGTACTGACAAGATAAATTTTTCTGTTTCGAGATATGTGAGACAACCTATAAGATGAATATCTGATGAACAATGACTGATAGTTTTATGGCATCTATTAGGACAACCAGAAATAACCTTTTAAATCTGAAGGAAATATACTCTAAGATATGTCACATTCTGCCTCAGGGATCCCTTTCTCTTCAGGATGTTGTTTGGGGTGAAGTTACCTCCTGCAGTCAACTTCTTCTTTTCTTGCCATCTGTCCTGTAAGTCTCCTCCTGGGGACCCAGATAGCAGTCATCACTCAAGGCTGAAAACATCTGGCCACACATGCTAGCTTCAGCATGACTCAGCGTGATTCAGCATGGCTGTCCTGGGCCCAGGTCCTTGCCTAGAAGGCTATGCAGATCATGAAGATAGAGAGCATGGCATTGACTCAGACTGGGGCCCTGCAGAAATGTCTATGCTGGGACTATGGGAAGGCAACAATGGAGGCTTAGACAAAAATCGAATATGAAGCTTATTTAGTCAGAAATGAGGAGGCTGGAGAGGATAAAGAGGGTCGGGCTTACAGAAAGTACAATAATCTAGTAAACATTCTCAGAGTACTTCTATGTGCTAGACACTAATTTTAGTGCTTGAATCATAAAAAGAATGATGCATATCTTGCTTTTCAGGACAAAACAATAGCACTATAATCCAGTATTATAGTTTCCTTTATATTTAATAAAGATGTATATAGGAGGGAGAAAATATGATTTTCCAGGTTCTCTCTAGGGAGTAAGGAATGGACCAAAAGATTTTACAGAATTGAGAAATTTTCAGATTGGGCTGGAGAGATGAAAATGAATTTTTCACGATGGAATAATTTTTTAGGAAAAGTACGTGTAGCTAGCTAAAATACAGTAAGAGTGATTTGGTCTAAGAGAGAAGCCTCGCTGTTGCATGGTCAGAGAAGAAAACTCCACCAGTTATCACAATTCTCCGTTCCTCCTTTCTTCAACATCAGAGGTTTCATATGTAAGCCCTCTGGGGTCAGGAAAATCACATAAAGGAATACAGTGTCAGGTGGCGTCTATGATGAATGCAAGCCCAATTCTAATAAAATAGGGCAGTCAGTGCTTCAGCCAAATGTTGCCATAAGACGTTGGGAAGAGCTCAGTGACTCCAACATTACCTAGTTACTAATGTAACCTTGGACAAGTTGCTTAATGTTTCCGTGTCTCTGAAATATAGGATGAAATTATGACTTAGTTCATAGTTTTTTTCTGATGAATAATGTTATTTATTGCATAAAGAAATAAGTATAGACTATGCTCACTAAGTGTTATCTGTTGTTATAATTTTATAAGTATATAGGTATAACTATAAGGGTCACATCTTATTTTCAAAAATGATTGAAAATACAAGTATTTTAGGCATTTCTTTTTTCCTTTTATGCTCACTAAACTAGTAAGTAGTTTATTTTCAAACTAAGTAGCATATCTTTTCCTCCCAGTTATCATTTTGTGTACGTGAAGAGAGCATGAGATCTACTCTCTTAACAAAAAAATATTTGACACTGTATCAGTGACTATAGTCATCATGCTGTTCATTAGATCTCCAGACTTATTCATCCTTCATAACTGCAACTTTGTACCCTTTGGCCAACATTTCCTATTTCCCCTACCTCCCCACCCCAGTAACCACTCTTCTACTATCTGCATTTATGTATTCAACTTGTTTATACTCTACATATAAGTAAGATCATGCAATTTTCCCCTGATCTCTGTGCCTGCCATTCTTTTGTTTTAAATGTTGGCAACAGATTCAGTGTATTTTGAAACACTATTCAGGTCTCCCAAAACAATTCTATGAGAGATACTTAGATAATAGGCTATCATGTTGCAACTTCTGGTCTACCTTCTCACCCTCATGTTTGACTTTTCCATTTTCTCCTTGTTCCTGTGATAGTGCCCTTCTCCTAGTCTTCCTTTGACCAATGAGTGTCTCCCAAGGCAATCTAAGACTTTATGCTCTGGTTTAGGAGAAAAACCATCGGCGGCTGATTTTTTAGTGTGAGGAAGTAGGAAAACTCAGTCCAATACAGATGATATAAGACCTTCTATAAAATTGATACCAAGTTCTTCTGTTTTGCTTG